CCACTCGCCAAGATTGTTGCAGAATAAGTTTCTCCATCATCCCATTCACAGAGGACAGTATCTCCTACCCAAAATTCCATTCTTTCCTTCACTTCCTCATGTTCCAATTCATCATCTGTTTTAATGGCTAGAACGCCATCTTGTGTATACCGTATAAGATGAAACTGAAACACTGATGAATAAAAGTTATCCCACACAAATATCCTTGGTTTTATCATGCTTATAACAATATACCTTTGTGTGATTTTGGTCCACCAGTAGTGCGCCTTTTAGACATGGCCACAAACTAGAGCGATTCCGAGAGACTGGAGAGAGCGATCTTGCATGTAGCTGTGCTGCTGCTAGCTGTGCATGTGAGCCACTCCTTAATTCAGATGCCTCCGAAGGTGTGGCCAATAAATTATAATAATGATTCTTGGACCCTACAAAAGGTATATGAACAATTCTTTCCCAACTAAAAAGGTACCAAAGAGAACGCTTTACCGACAAAAAAGAAAGGAACGATGTGCAGCAGTATCACTTAGACAGCAAGAAGGTATGATAATATTTTCAGTGCCACACCAATTGAAATTAACTAATGGGCCTTCTAGGGTTAGTGTGGGTCAAGTTTTACATTTGTACAATACAGCAGTGAACATAGACTGAACTAAAATATGTATAAATGGTCCTTATGCTATATAAAAAGTTTGAACTGTTTCTGACAAATATTTTAAAAAGTATATACATAAGTGTTTATAAAAATATTATTATTTTACACGGCAGACAATTCACATGTACTTGATGAAATCAGGGTAGACTTTGAGTCAGCAGATGAAATGGAGCACTCTTATCAGGCTCTGAAGAGTGAGTCATCAGAAGTGAATTGTCTTGGTGAATCGGTATCAGATGATGAATTATCGGCATTGAGTAGTGATAAAGAGACTGACAATAATAAGAAAATCCACATGATGATTATGATGTTGAAGATCAAGACGAAGGTAAGAACTAAGTTGGTATAATTATTATAGTCAATATTTAATTCAATGCAGATGAAGTACTTCCAGAATACATTTATGAAGGCTCGTCTATAACTTTACAAAATTTTCAAGTTATGATACTCCTTTTCATAATGAGGCATAATCTTACATATGAAGGAACATATGACTTATTAAATCTA